GGGGGGGGGGATGCGTAAGCAGATGGAGGAGGACAGCACAGAGGGGGGAAAAAAGGAGTCTTTCTTGCTCCGAAGCACGCCCCCTCTGACCCTCTCTGTCTGGCCTCGAGGAACGTAGATCGGACCAAAACTCCCTGCCCCTCCCTCGCCTGCTCACCGTATCGATCCACTTCTCGCCTGCCTTTTCGGGATGCTTTTTGGCATCAATGCCAGCCTCTTGCAGCCTCTTGAGGAAGACGGGATCGCTGAGTCCGATCTCTGCTCCCGTGCCACTTCTATATGGCGCGTAATTGCTGAGCGCAACATCGTCATGTCTCCAAGCCAACTGATCCGTGTCGAGCGTCATGATGCAAGCATCGTAATTCGATTCGTGAGCGCGTTGCAGCAGGGAATGAGTGAGCTCTGGATCGTGAGGTAGGTAGAGCTGATAGTATTTCAAGCCTTCTGGATGTTGAGCGCCTAGCGAGCGCGAGTGACCCAGAGAGGCACCGTCCGCGTTGTGCAGCGCACAGTCTTCGATGGGTTGAGAGCCGGCTGTGGAGAGAGAATAGGCTAGACCCAATTCGCCTGCTACTTTGGCTACAGGTAATTCGCCTAGAGGGTGATAGATCTGGCATGAGCAGTCACGTAAGCAAGACGAAATGAAAGATCGTGCAGACGATCAGCGTAATCACCACCGCGGGGGTGGGGGCGGGGGGAACAGCATCTGGACGAAACTTGCACACCTTGTTCAGTCCGATCGGACTCAAGCCGATGGGAGCGCTGAGTGTCTTTCCAAACAGCTTTACCGTGGTGTCGCGATGAGTGGTATCGACGAGCATTCTAGGTATGATTTTCCACCTATCGAATGCCTCTCTATTAGCATCGTGCGTCTTATCCACACCGGCATTCGAATGGGCGTAGGACCAGCCTCCTGCTGAAAGTCTCTCTTTGGCTAGACTTTCAAGATGGAGAGGATGCGTGTTGAAGGGTGGCAAGTGACCCTTTTGGGAAGGAAGGAGAAAACACTCTTTCTGGTAGAGCGCCCAGTGAGGTGTACGACGTGCAGGTAGATTGCTTGCGTCCATCTTGATTGGGGATTTGGACGTGTGACGTGTGACGATCCAAGGCGCGTGCGAGCAAGCAAGACGAGGGGGGGGGGGGGGGGGGGGGGGGGGGGGGGTAGTGGTGAGGGTGAGGGGGCAGGGGGGGGGGGGGGGGGGGGGGGGGGGGGGGGGGGGGGGGGGATGTGAGGATGACGGAAGCTGACGAAGGTGCGCGGCGCGCTTCTTTAATCATGCTAGCCCAGTCACAGTCTCCTCCCAACTGCGTCGCTACACTCTTGCACGCTTCCAATCCAGAGACGAGTCTGTGATTGATCTTGCAGAGCTTCATGGGCGCCCTTGCGTCTCCCTTCCTTACCCCACACATTCGATCGTGATTCGCATTCTGGCGCGCGCGCCGAGACAAGTTCAGGGTTTCCTTTGCTGCTGCATGGTGCGGTAGGTACCGCGGTAAGCTGGCTCTCGGTTGCGCCGGCAAACGGCCTGGCGTACGCGCGCGCGTGCGGAGGTGGAGCGGCATAATGTCAAGCGAGCCTGCAGCCTGGCTGGATAGGCGACCTTGGTTCGCGCTCCAACGGTTCGTATAGCGTGGGGGGCAAATGCAGTAGTGTGGTTAGCAGCTAGCAGCCACGAGTACCTTGCACTCCTCATCGTGACCCCTCGACAAGGTTGACAGTCTCTCCAAATTAAATTGTTCAGTCGTGTGTGAAAGTGGAGAGAGGGCCAAAAAGGGCGGGACATGGGAGGCATCTATTGCGGGGAACGGTGAGTGTAGGCGCATTCGTCGATTCGCGAGTTTTGGAAGTGGCAGACGTGGGCAGCACAATCATCTGCAAGACGGATCAAGCATGACGAATCAACCACTCCGACGTCTTTTCCTCTTGATCGAATGCTAGATGATGTCCCGCATCGTCGATGACCTCGAACCCGAACGTCTTTTCTCCAAATTCTCTTGTCAATTCCCGTTCCAGGATGGTCGAATCGACCAATTGATCTTCTTTTCCAATCAACACGTCCAATGTCGCGCTACCTTCTTTGAGCGCATTCTTGAACGCTTCAGGATCTTGCATCCTCGTAGCCCAAGCTGTTCTAGCCTCGGGCAAACAAAAGCTCAAGTTGCCCACCAATCTCGATTTCTCGCTCCATTGCAGAGATTTGCCTCGAATGGAAAAGATATCGATCAGCTTTAGAGCGGTCTGATGATGCAAAGAGACGGAATCTTGTACGAGAAGACCGGGAAAGAGAGAACCGAGATAGGCGGGAATGACGGCGCGTTGAATCGATCCTACCCACGGCAATGGGGCCAGCCAGATGACCTTTTTCAAAAGACTCGGGAAATGAAGAGCTACGTCGATCGAGACCGATGCTGGGGTTGAGAGAAGAGTGCATATTGAGCCGGGCAGAATGCATGACTAGCGCGCTGGCACATATCGCTCTCACCACCCAAGCTCCACCCAACAAAAGTGTGCTCCTTGACTCCAAAAGCCTCCAACACAGCTTTGTGATCCTGCGCAATGGTCTGCGAATCGATTGCACCTTGCGCAGGCGTGGCATCGCTATCGGAAGCGGAAAGAGCTAGCTCAGAGGTCCGTCCGTGTCCTCTTAGATCGTACGTGATCTATGCCAGGCGAGAGTGACAAGCATCACGACTCGGTCCAAGGATCGGGAAGAGAAGGTGCGCGGACGACTTACCACGTTGACGAGCTGCAACAGCTTGGAATCATGGAGAAGCAGCGGATCGAAGATGTCGGAGCTTTGACAAGAGTGAGAGGGGAGAGTGGTGTGTGCGAGTGGGTGAGTGGGTGAGTGTAGGTGGTGAGTACGATCTGCGCACGACATAAGCTACACCTGCAACAGTCTCGCTAAAAGAACGCGCAAATGGACGCATACATGCGCCTTGCAACAAAAGTGCCCACCAGATGCGCACCTTACAGTCCATCCGTGGACCAGCACCAACGTTTTTGCGCTCGCCAAAGAGCTTTTGTAGTGCCATGCGGCCACTTTTGTGCCGTCGGCAGAGGTGACCGTCTTGTAGTCTGAAGCAGCCAAGGAAGACGACATTTTCCCGCCAAAGAAAGGTGCGCGCGCGCGCGTGTTGGATGATGTTCTGGCTCGTAGCAGGATACCGAATGGATGCTTTGGAGGGGGCGATGGTCAGAGACGCACGCCTGAGTGTGCAGGTGGAGTTGCTGACGAGGGAAGCTGCTCGGGACTGGTGAAAGTGAAGCAGGAAAGAGCGGTGAACGATGAGAAGGATTCGTGATTGCTCGAGCGAGGGACACGCACGTGGCAGGAGGTAGGCTCGCGCACGAAGTGATCGCGTGCACTCAATGAGACTCAGACTGATGTGTACGGTCGAGTTGGGAGAGTGAGTCAAGAGTTAAGAGTGCATGGCACGCAGGCATATGCATGCATGCATGCATGCATGCATGCATTTGTGTGGCTTGATGATAATTTGCCGACTTCTAATGCCGCGCACGGATCAGCTTCATTCAAGATTGTGATTCGTCGATCGAGGCGCATGCGTGCGTGCGTGGCTGTCTGCTGCTCTCACTCCACCCCACCAACTCAATACATAGCACCCTCACGACTGCGTCACTCAGACTACGATCGATTGGCTGGTAGCGCGGCGTCGTCGATCGTTTTCCATTCGCTTTAGTCTGTTGTAGCCATGGCGTCGAGCGCTCCACCGCCTAGCGCTCCTCATACCGACTCAACCCTGCACCGGCCACACCCTCCAAGCAGTCAGGATCTCTCGCGCTGGTTATCTCGTCATCATGCCCTGCTATCGCTCGAAGCTTCTGCCTCGGCCACACCCTCATCTAGCAACACTCGCACTTCATCTGCGCATCTCGTATCCCACCATCACCACCTAGCCTCGACAGGTCACGCCTTGCTCCATCTCACACCTCTTCATCCCACCGTCGGTCCGGGCGGAAAGACGCTAATCAGGTTCATCAAGAGCAGCGCGTGGCACGTGGATGCTGACTTGGGCACTGCGCATGCATTCAGAAATGGGGATGCTTGCTGCGTCATGCCTACATCGACTGGTTCGCAGGGGGCCAAAGGAAAGAGGAGGGAAGAGGAGGCAAAGGGTGCAGTGGATGCGGTCGTGTTCAGAGTGCAGAGAGAGAGCATCACTTTGGCTATTGGACGTGCAGCAGAGGGTAAAGCGGATGAGATCTTGCCCGGCAGCGCGACGTTTGACCTCCTCAAGGTACAAGATGCCAGGGTTACAAAGAGGTGCGTCTCATGTGGCTATGGGCCGGTCTCGTCAAGCTGAACAGAACACGTGGGTCGCTCGGCTACAGGATGCAACGAACGCTGGAAAGCCTTGCCGATCAGCTGGGCGTACCTGTGCTCAGCTCAACAAGCCAAGCAAATGCAGCATCAGCTAGTCGGGATGGTGCGAGCTTTGCGCGCGCCAAAAGACAAGCGGACCCTCGCTCTCGCTCTCCCTCTGAGCTGAACCCCATCACTGCAGATCAGAGCGGCAAGCAGGCGTATTCATCTGACGACTCGGACGAGGAAACTGAGAGTACTCCCACGCAAAGTAAAGATAGCAGCGAGAAGCAGGGGCAGGACAACGTCAGCGCCGAGATAGCTGCGGCAAAAGGGACCACTACGGAAAGTCGCGCGTCTACATCACAGCACCTATCGAGAAGCGCGACCGACGCTGCGAGCAATCACACGGCGCCAGACGAGCAGCCTGTGCGCGAAGTCCGCTCAACAGCATCGCCTCTCATCAACGCCTTGCTCGGTCTTGAACAGCCAAGCTTCATGCCTATGGAGCAATACGAGAAGGAAAGACCGCTCGGGAAACACTTGTACGATCAGGGCCTGAACGAGTCTCAAAGGGCTGCTTTGGACTTTTGTCTGAGGGCAAAAGAGGTGGCATTGGTGCACGGTCCTCCTGGCGAGTAAGAATGATTCAGCTCCTAGACGATGTCGCGCGGAGCCATGTTTGGGATTCGCCCCACGATCCGCGCCTGCCATACCAGACTGACGTGTCCTGCGGCTCTTCCACAGGCACTGGCAAGACACGGATGCTCACTGAGCTGATTCTTCAGTTGGCGCTAGCACCCACTGCTCTTCGCGCAGAGGCTGGGTCTGACGCCAGGAACAAGAAGAGAGTTCTCGTGTGTGCGGCTTCCAATTTGGCCACTGACAATGTACTTTCAAGAGTGGTTCAGCTAGGCCACAAGGAGCTGAAAGCGCAAGGACTTGGCGTGACTAGAGTCGGGCGTGAGTGTCGAGCCGTATGTGTTAAGCTGATGAATTGGTGTGCAGGTTCTCTGCTCATGCGTCACGCTTCTCACTCAGATCCTGCTCGATTACTACCTCACCTCGAGGCATTTTCTCTGGACGATCAAGCAGAATCTTCGGAAGCAGGTCAATTGCTACGAGATGTAAAAGCAGAGCTGTCCAGTACGCTTTCCGCGCTGCATCCATCCACAGATGCAACGACTTCTGCAGCGGGAAACAAGTCCACCTCTCGCAAGGGTCAAGCATCGAGCAAGTTCAAAGGTCTTAAAGGCTCGGCGAGAAAAGAAGCTTATGAAGTCATGAAGGAGTTGAGGAGGGAGCAGAAAAAGAGGGAACGAGGATTGTACGAAGATGTGCTAAGGGAGGCGGCAATCGTTTTCGCTACTTGTCACACCGCCGGGGCTGCTTCGCTAAAGGAACAAGTCTTCGACGTGCTCGTGGTAGACGAAGCTTGTCAAGCGTGAGTGAGGCGATGGCCTTGCGAGTAATCGCAGGCTTGTCAGAGTGGACGTAGATTGACACTTCGATGCGTCTCAGTCTGGAAGCTCAGATATGGATCCCCATACTGTCTCGTCTAAAGCCAAGTGGTAAACTCATACTCGCCGGCGACCACTTACAATTGCCTCCCACTGTGCTCGGATACAAGCCACCGCCACGCGCCGCGAAGAGGAAAGGCAAGCGGGCAAAGGACGTCAAGGCTTCCGAAAATCAGAGCGGAGCTGATGAAGCTCCGGTGCTGGAGCAAGACGGTGTCGGTCAAACGGGGCCCGACACGAGCTTGCAGCTCGCTAACGATCCTGAATCCGATGAGGAATCGGACACCGAGCTCGCTTTCCAGACGTCTTGCCTGAGCCCGGAGGCGCGAACGGCAGCGCGGAATACATTAGCGGAGAGAAAGGATACGAACGCGGCATCGAGCAGGGAGCGCAGTGGGGAAGGGACGAGCAAGTCCGAGCCGAAGAGGACACGTCTGAGAGTGCCGCGCAGCCTCGAGACGACCATGTTCTCTCGCTTGCTCGGCATGTATGGTAGCGGTATGCGCGCGCTACTTGATGAGCAGGTGAGAATCCGACAACGTCTTGAAATGCTCTGTGGCGGCGGGCTGCTAAGTGTCCCACACGCAGGCTCATCAAACCTTTCTCCCATCTACACAGTATCGCTTCTCCAAGACTCTGCAGAGCTTCCCGAACAGCGCCTTGTACGAAGACGCACTGCGCGCCGCACCTGCCAATGCGCAAACTACCCTGCTCGACCTGGATGGCTACGGACATGTAGAAGGCGAAGAGGAGCTCTTGGAAGAAGATGTCAAGGAGGAACTGTGGGCTGCTAGCGTCGTGTTCTACGACACCGCAGGAGGTGAGGCTCTTTCCATGGCTTGAAGAGCGCCCGGATGACTGACGCTCAAAGCTTGCTCGTGCTTTTGTCTGACTCGTAGCCGAGATGTACGAGACATCTGGCTCGTCAGAGGAGAGCAAAGACGACTCGAGCTCGACGAGCGAATCCAAGTCCAATGCAAATGAAATCGGACCCGTCTTGAATCACATCAAGCTGCTTTTGAAGCACGGCTTGGCAGCGGAGCAGATCACGGTCTTGTCGCCTTATTCGGCTCAGGTGGCATTGATCGGCGAAGCGATTCGTCAAGAAGCCGCCAATGCTAGCAGCATCTCCACTTCCAGCAGGAGCAAATCAGCGGCGGCTGGGGGAATGGGCGAAAGATCGAACGTGGCATGCACGCGCACAGACCTCAAGAGGGTGGACGTGGGAACGATCGATTCGCAACAAGGAAGAGAAAATGAAGTGGTGATCATTTCGTTGGTGAGGAGCAACGAAAAGAGAGAGGTTGGCTTTTTGAAGGAAAAAAGGAGGTTGAATGTGGCCATGACTAGAGCTAAAAGACAGTTGGTCGTGGTGGCGGACTCGGACACTGTGGCTAAAGCGGGCGATGCGTACCTTGCTAGATGGATGGAGTGGCTAGAAGAGAATGCCAGAGTCGAAGTGGTCGGTTCGTAATGCATGACTTTTCGAAATGCTGCTTTGGATACTGTCAACTTGAGCGAATCACGCTTCGGGGGCACCTTTGCATGCACGGAATAGTACCAGTCGCAGCGCTCGTTTCCGTGCTTGCGCAAGGAGTACTTGTGCGGGACTGCTTCGTAAGGTCTTGAACTTGAGCAAAAAGGACATGATGAGCTCACGCTTGATCCTAAGCCCCCTCACTGCGGGCGACAAGAGCGATGACAATGGGAGGGTAATTTCTTCACCTATGGTAGCTGCAAGCATGTTTTTTTCCTGACCCTCAAGACTCTCACTCTCTCCCTCACTGCTGCATGCTGCTGCCTGTGCAACAAAATTGAGAGTCCGCGGAAGTCCGCCGTACCCCGCAAACGCGTTTCGGCTAGCTATGCATAGCCTATATAGCTGCTGCCTGCCTATACAGTAGAGTATAGGTGCGGTCCCCAGCTGCTGCTGCTGCACGGAAGCAGATTTCGGTGTTCTGTTGCTCTCCATCGTCGTGGCTGCACGAATCACCGGGCGTCGCGCACAGCAGCGCACTCGTGACTGTTACGTAGAAGGAGGCGCAAGCAATTAAGCAAGCACGCGGCTGCATGGCCCGCCCCGCGGCGGGTAGTGGGATCGAACGAGTTCTTGGAATCGACATACAGTATATTCACGATTCACGATTCGTGCACGCACACCTTGGAATTGCTTCCGAGTCACAGTGGGTGAGTGGGCCTCGGATGTGTACCTGCGTTCCTTCTCACACCCAAAGCGTATGTGCATGCGCTATACTTGTTCGTGAGCAGCTGACCCATTGACCCGCTACCCATACTCACGACTGCGCGTCCAGTCCATCCCGATACAAAGGCGCGCCCTCCCCCTCCAATTCCAAGTCAGTAGGGTCAAGACAGCACGCAATGGGCTCAAAGATCGTCCTTGCACCTTGACCTTGCCCCGGAGAGATCGACATTTGCCACAGGCCGGCAGCGCGAGGCTGTAAGGTGGGCGTTGAGGACATCATTGACAACGGATTTCAGCAGCAATCCAGACTTCTTCCTCCAATCGCCTGACGTTGCTGGAAGATCATGGCGAAGGTGGTCGCGTTCGCAGATAGGTGCGAGATTATGTGAGTGCTGGTGATGCGGGCGAACAGAAGTGCTGGCGAAACTGGCTAGCGATGTACGCGTTCGAATGCTGGAGTTGAATGCTCCTTTGCACCACTTGCAGCCCGCCATTGGTGTTCGCACAAGCCTCCTCGCCAATCACGATCGCGGGTAGATCGCTGCCTTCGCCCTCTCTGGCCTCCTTTGGCGTCAATGTGTCCACTGCATCCATTCCGCAGCTTCGAGGATTGAGAAGACCCAGATTGTTTGGCAGCGCCTCCGAGCCCGGTCCCTCATCTGCTGTCGATTCCTCATCCACCAGCACCACCGCACCAAAGGAAAATTTGGCCTCCTTCTCCAGCGGGGCTTCCCAGGCCGAAAGTGCCGCTGAGGATGAACACTCGAGGAAAGGCCTCAAGGCACTGTTTCGCCGGTCCTTGAGTGGCTCAAGAGTCGCTTCGACGCAGTACAAGCCGAGCATCCAGGATCAGCCTTCTTATCTGCCGTCGGCTCTTGTCGCCGAGTCATCCGTGGGCAAGAAGCAGCCTGCTTCGGCGTGCAACTCCAACGCGGTCGCTTCAAAAGCGGCCGTTGCCGAACTTCATGAACCAGACTTGGCCACGGAAACGCCTGCATCAACCTCCTATTCGGCATCGAGGCCGACGAATGGAGATGGCCGTGTTCCGATAACAGAGCTTGGGCAGACAGCCTCGAGCCAAGGGACTGGCGGAACAGAGGCGATCGAGGAGGATGGACCGCAAGCGGAATTTGCTGCGCTGATGCTGCAACCCGAACACAGCCATCCTGAGCCCGTTGCGCCATCAGAGAGCTTCGCTAGCTACATCCTCGATCCGACTTTGGACGTGCCGGATCCTGTTGCGGGCCCTCTAGCACACATTTCACCCAGCGGCAGTCTGGCGCTGAGACCCAAGCCTGTGATGAAGCCTCTTGCTTTTGGCCCGGGCGCCGAGGATGGTCAGGGTACCGAAGCTTCTGAGCATGTGGGCCAGTCTCGAAGCACTGTTGGCGAAGAATTCTTGATCGGCAAAGGTGAATCTCTTGTCAAGACGCCTTCGCTGCCGGGTAGTCTGCAGGCTCCGAAGCGCCTGCGCTGTCCTCCGATGCGAAGTGCCGTCAGGGGCGACGAGTCCGTCAGTGGGGCATGTGTATGCGCCGACTGCGATGTGATTATGCTAGCGGCATTGCAGACCGGTAAGTCGCCTCTTTCTTCGCGCCTTGTGTCGTTCTTCTTGAGCTCAACTCCTTTCGTGATGCTCAGATTATCACGCGCCCTGGTCACGTAGCGCTCGTCGCAAGTATCTGGCAGACCGAGCGCAGCGGAAATTGATCCTGAAGCAGAAGCTCAGTGCCAGACAGTTGAATTTCTCCGACACCGCACGTCCTCCACCCAGCGGCAGCACGAGCGTATCCCCGAGCATATACAGCGTGCGCTTGCCTAGCCCTCCACCTTCGGAGACGTCTGGCGAGCCTGCAGAGGTTCTCACGGAAAACGCAAAGGGTGTCGCAGATGTGGTCAGTACTGGGCAGATTGGACCCGCGTTGGGTCTCAAGATTGGACTGCAGGCAGACGAGGTGGATCAAAAGCTTGGTGGGTCTGCTGTCAGACCGAAGCCAGATCATTCCAATGATGCTCATCGGGGTCTCGAGAGTGAAGCACCGGATCTGCCCCCCGTCACGGTGCTAGCGACCGCAGAAGATTGGAAGGCGGTACTCTTGTCTGGCGATGATGAGGATGAAGCACCTGAGAGCACGCCCATGGACGCAGATCTGAAGGCCGAGATAGCCCACGAAGCAAGTTTGAAAGCGCTCATCGACGGGACCACCACATTGGCAAGAGCAACATCGCTTGGCCACTCAAAGTCGGCTTCAGACTCTGCTCCTGTGATCTCTCGCTCGAAAGACGTACGGGATCCAGTAGCCGCCAGAGAGTACTCCGCCACGCCACCTCCTCGAAAGCCTAGTCCGATGGGCGCAAGGGCCATGCTGAGACAGCTCGAACTGGCCGAACTGCAAGAATCTCGAGCCGCGGAAGAACGAGATCGCAGAAAACGACTCAGCTTGGATAGCGCGGCCCCTCCCCCGAAAGTACCGATGGGCGCAGTCATCGACGCTCCCATACGACCGTGAGTTCCCATCTTTGTCTGCCTGTATGGAGCCGGCTCGACTCACCTCAAATTTACCTCTTGGCGCACTTCGCAGATGGACCCCACCAGTGAGAATCGGCTCGCCAGAGGCGAGACGCCTTGCGGAAGCTCGGCAGATCGACAGAGCTGGCTCGCCAGGGACTAGCACCTTTTCCAGCATGGCAAGAGCAATCACGCCCGATGCCCTCCGATCAGGCACCCCACCTGTGCGCGCTCCTTCACCGGGCCGTTTCCCCACGGGCCCAAACTTGATGCGATCGCCTTCACCTCTCAGTTCAGGCTTGCCCGGCCGAGCTCCGTCACCAGGGGCGCGTGTAGCAATCGAATTGACCCAGCCTACACCTTCTGCGACGGGCAACGCATCTCCTTCCTGGCCCTCCTCCATCCTCGCCCATCCCCCGCCGGCCAGATCTCCATCACCTAGAAATTCCGCCCTGCACGCCATGATGTCTGCTAACGTCCCGCCAACGCCGACCTCTAGCTCCCACGTCCTCGACAGCATCACCGAGTCCGATGCTGATGCTGACTGGGTAGACGAGATCTCTGCTAATGCACCCCAAGTTTCAAAGTCTGTGATTGAGTCTCAAGCTCGCAAGGCATATCTGTGCCCAGCAGTCGAGATCCAGCAGCCATCACATCACGCACGCGGTCTGTCATCCACCGCATCTGTTCAGCAGGCCTCCTCGGCCATCAACAACCATGTTTCTCCCGCACTTGAGCTCTCGGAAGCGGATCTAGCTGCTGCCGATCGTTTGCCCGAGCAGATGTTGAAAAGCGATGGTCTCCTGCGAAGGAACGGTGCTCCACCGGCGTATCCAAGACGTGCCAACAGCGGCGGTATCCAGACGTCCACGGGAAGTTTGGGTCGACCGCCTTCACGAGGAAATGATGCTGCAGACGCAAAGCGGCCAACGAGCCCTACCAGTCCGAGATCGCGCTCTGCAGCTCCATCGCACCGTCGCGCAAGCTCCTTCTTATCGGTCATTGCAGGCACATCGAATTCTCTGGGAGCTGGAGGACCCGTGCCCGTTGGCCTTGCTGGCTCGAGCAGCGTATCACGTCAGGCGTCGTCTTCTCCCTCCAGGCCCGGAATGAGCCCTTCTGAGTCGAATGGCAGCTTCAACAGTCGGGCTAGTGGAGCACCTTCGGACGCCTCAGATACCTACTTTCCAGTGACAAGCTCCACGTCTGCTTCGTCGACCAGGAACGGCCGATCGAGACCGCAGACGGCAGACTCTACACGCGCAACTCAACAAAGAGTTGGAGGAGATTTGACCGTCGAGACGAAGCGAAACTCTCTATCGAATAGCCCAAATCGAGCTGGCAATGCCGCCTCTGCTACGGATCGCAAGCGGGACAGCCTGTTCGGCGGTCTCAAAGCCAAGTTCAGAAGCGGGGACTGAAGGTGTCTTGATTCGGATCAATCGTTTGGCAGTTTGTACCCGAGTCTGTAGCCTCTTGGAGAGCCTTCTATTCGACGCGTCGCACGAGCCAATTGTGGGGCTTTACACACCAAGAATTCAACCAGAAAAAATGCGGCTGTCAGAGAATCTTCGCAACGACACTAGCCGCAACAACCGCGCCGAATCTTCTGGAAAGCTCACGCGTCAAGGTGCTTGGCTTGCAATTCTTGCGACACTTGCTTCTGCGCGCTCTCGAATGGGTGTGGCGGACGGGACGCGAATTGAAGCCGCGCTCAACGGAAAGAGATCCGCGCTCGGGCCATGGCGTAGGCCTGAGCCCTCGTCTCGCGCCTTGAAAAGTGCGCCTATCATGCCGTAAACGTGTTGGGCGCAATGACGCCCATGCCATAATTCTCGACCGTCGAAATTTCATCTCGTCTCGTCCACGTCGAGAGACTGGGCTGACGACGCGCGTGACACTTTCGAGCTGTCTATCACAGACCACGTTCGCAATTATTGCTCTCGTGCGCGCGTCCGGGCCATCCGATTGTCCACCTCGATCACGTCTCTGTCTCAGGCATGCTCGGCGAGAAGAACGGCCCGGCTCCACGTTGCCAATCTACTGGGCTGAAGCATATAGCAGGCAAGCACCGGCAGAACCCCCACCGAATCCTTGTGGCGAGCCGCTGGGTCGAATTCGGTGGCGTTGGCAGACTGACACGTCTGTCGTTCCTCTGACCAGCGAGATTCTCGTGCAACCATGCTCGAAGTCTTAACCCTTTGGCGCACGTTTGAACCTTGCTCTGCTACCGCCTCCTCTATGGACGGGTCGACGAACCTCGATAGGCAGCTTGTGCCAAGCGTCTCTTCCTCATCTGGGACTGTGCTTGATCACTTGCATCAGCGACGTGCCGAGCGACGTCTTGCCGCGAGTGAGCACCTCATCAGTTCAGCCCACAATTCTGTTCAATATCTTGCGCTTTGAGGGAACGTGCTACCTGTCATTAAGCGCTCCATACCTGCGCTTGAAATGCTGCTCACCGCCTCGTTGAGATCCTCTCGCTTTCGCAGATCACATAAATGTCTGCCTTTGATCATCTGAGCACCATACCCAATGGTCTTCAAGAACGAGCCCTGACAGGACGCACCCTTTCCGTATTTCTGCTCAACCACCGACCGCACGCCCCTCACTTTGCGTCGCCGTCTCTTTCATTCAGTCTTGCGCGAGCGGCCGAAACGGATCGCAACATAGCAACATTGTGCATTTCAACGTATGGCAGGGAAGATGAGACGCTTCGCAGCCTTGTCTACCACACTCGTCGCGCTTTTGTGTCTGAGTTGCACGACAACTTCTGCCACCGCAATGGCGATCTTTCACGGAGTAGCAGCGCAAGATACGCTGTATCTAGGTCGTCCAAGCTTTCCGATCATCAGCCGCGTTAGAGGTCTCTTTAAGTCGAAACCCTCGCTACAGTACAACAAGCTCGACACCTTGCCACGCATGCATCGCATGTCGGACTCGTTCAGACTAGAGGACTCGCACCACGCGCAGGCGAAGGCAGCGAGCGAGAGGTCGGCTAAGGTGAAGAAGAAATTCACCATCTGGCGTGGGCAATTCACTCGCAAAAGCGCAGCTGGTGCAGTGAGCGGTCTGTTCGGTACGGTCAGCGCTGCCAACGCGGTTGGAGCATTGTGGGAGAAGCTCAGTAAGTGCTGATCATCGCCTCGCTGCTCGCGCCTGCACGTACTCTTTTCTGACTCTGCCACCGTCATGCCGTACCGTAAAAGTAGCTGAGCCCACGCAGATGTCTGGTCAGCGCGACAGAAAATCATCCATCCCTAGCGAGAGACGATCTTTTGGTCCTGCAAGGCTCAAAGTCATCAATGCAAGCTCCAAAGCTCTACGACCTAGAGCGCTAGAGACTGGAGAAGTGCTCAGCGTGAGTCGGACTGCAAGCTGCTGCGCATGTGCTAGGTACCCGTCATGAACAAAGTGTGAAGCCCCCCATTTTCCGCGCCCCAAACTCCCATTCTGTCCCCACAGTTCCTCGACGATTGTGAGTAGCGCGAGCGAACGGCAGCGACTCGACGTTGTCAAGCAATGAGCCAGCGCATCGATCTGAAATGACCTGCCCACGCCTGCGTCTCTGTACCGCCCATTCGTCCGGCGCGCCCCGTAGATGGAAAGATGACCGCAAGCACCGTCGCGTTGGTAGGTAGCTCAGGTGGACTGTACTACAGCGCCAACGAGCACGCTCGAGCAGTGCGCAACGCAGAGGCCCTCGAAGCAGCTCAGGCTCAGCGGGCTCGGACCCTCGCTCCTGCACGCACCAGCACCACCACACCTTCATTGAACTTGGCACCTGCAGCCATTCCTCAAGTCTCGCACTTTGCCTCGAGCCCTTGACGTGTCCCCCCGAACTGGAGCCCCCTTGCTACCCTTTCTTTCCCCCCATTGAAATCGTGAATTGCACTCGAGGCGAAACGCAACTTGATGCCTTGCTCACTCGGCCTATGCGCAAGCGACTCCCACGCACATTGTGATCCATTTGACGCACGTCCATGACGATCCTTGAAGTCCAAGACGAGGACAATAAAAGACCTACGTCTGTCTTTGGTTCCGCTAGAAGAAATCAGCTGTTGATGCGCATGTGTATGCTCTGCATTTGACATTGTGATTACGTTACGAGCGTGCGAGCGGGTGGGGGAGGGGGGGGGGGGGGGGGGGGGGGGGGGGGGGGGGGGGGGGGGTCTTAAAAGCGTGGCAAGATGCCAAAGCCTAGCAGCATATGTGCACGGCAGGAAAGCGCTTGTATCTGCATCCCATCAAGCACCCGCCAGAGCACTTTTCGTCCTCCTCTGCATCTCTTCCTCGTCCAGAGCGCCCGGAGGCAGGCTAGCTACAAGCCTATCCAGAGCTTCGCAAGGTACAGGTCTCAAGAGTTCCTTCGCTCTATGATCCGCCTCGTTCAAGATTCTCTCTGCTCTCTCCAATTGAGCCTTGCTCCAACTCTTCACATCTTGTTCCGCCGTGCCGCCGGATGCTGTCGCGTTGTTGATCGTAGAGCTGATGTTGGTGCTGCTGCTGCTGCTCTCGACAGTGGCTAGCAAATGAGAGACGGAGATGCTTCGAGTAGGATCTTGATCGGCATGCAGAGCTTTCAACCAATCGTGAGAAGCTTGAATCTCTTCTAGCTCCACTTTCCAACCCGCCAAAAAGGTCTTTAGCGCTCTAATACGCCTAGAAGCTTCGCTCGTAGCTGCTCGAGAGACTTGAGTGTGTTCGTGCATGTTCGAGAGGGAATGGATCAAGCTCGAAGTGACGCTTCGGAGATGTTGCATTTGATCCGCGATGCTGGGCCCTTCGGATGAGCCAGAGACGGGATGAGAAGCTTGAAGGTGAGCAGCGGAATCGGATGATTCGGGTTCGGAAAGATCTTCATCTAATTCTTCTTCCTCATCCTCTGAAATTCCCTTGAGCCTGTTGCGTCGGTTGAGAGGTGGGATCGATGAGGAGCTGGCACCGGCAGCATCAACTGCGCTGGAGGTGGAAGCGAGGAAGCCCAGTCTATCTTTTGTTTTGGAGAGATTCTCTATCTTCTCCCAATCCAGATCCGAGGCAAGAGCACCGGTAAGAACAAAATCGCCCTTGATGAGCTCCCTAGCCAACTCCCTTAGCTCCCTGGCCTGGCCTTCCCTCTCCACTGCACTTTCTCTTAGCTGCCTAACAACCGCCTCGGCAGATGATTCGATATTCGAGGCATCCTCTTTGTTGTTGCCTCCTGCTGCTGCTGACGATGCGTGGTTGGCGGTGGATGGAGATCTAGGTATGCCTCTTGAAGAACCAGCAAGAGAAGCATTACCGAGAGATTGCAAGAAACGGTCGTTGAAAGCGATGCATTCTTCGAGTGTCTGGCACGTAGAGTTGATCTGTTCCTCGTCGACAAAATGCAACTCGTCCGTCGCTGTAGTCTTGGAGCCTAATGAATCGGTCATGTTGCTTGTGATCTGACTCGCCCCTTGCCCTGCTGATGCACCTGCTGCTTCTTCGCCCAGTTCCGCACCCAACGACTCTCCAACGTCCAGCTCGCGCGATGCATCGTAGTCGCCGCCCAGCTCGTCTCCCAAGCTCGCTCCTTGTCCTGCCCCATCCGCCAGGCCTTGATGCAAATCCAAGTCGACATGCGAATCAAAATTGAGCTCATCGCCTAAAGAGTTGCCCATTCCGGCCTGATTCAGATCATTGAGCTCATCGCCCAACGAGCCTGCCACTCCATAATGCTCCGACAAATCGTCGGCCATGCTGCCTTGAAGAGCGAACAGGCACTGCGAGGCGTGAGATCGGGCTGATGCTCGATTTGCGCTTTGGACCGAGGATAGCAGAATCGCAGCGACCGACTTCCTTTGATTTTGTTGATGCTTTGGGTGTATGATGGGCGATATCTGGTGTACACCTGAGGGGAAAGCTCCGTGCGAAGAGAGCGGGCTGCTTGGCGGGTGGGGTTGCGGGCAAGCAGCGACGCCGACGAGATGAGGATGAAGAGGCCGCCGTTCGAGCGTGTTGCGCTCTTCGTCGAGCCCGAGTCCTCTGAGCAAGGCCAGTTGCCTGTAAGCGTCGGAGAAGGATGCACCCTGCTGAGCTGCCAACGAGACCCACTCTCTCACGTGCTGCAACAAAGTGTAGTCCTGAAGCCAAGGTACAAAGGATTTGACGCTGACTGCGCAAGGATTCGTGTCGAACCGCGAACAGGGTGGTGATGGAATGTGTGTGCGCGTGCGCACGCTTGTGGGTGATGGGGATGGCGAAGGCGAGGAGGATGAGTGGTAGGCACGAGGATTAAACTCAACTGCGAGCTATGCGATGTCACTTGACAGACAAGCATGAGCGACTCGCGACTGCAGATGTGAAGCGCTGTCACAAGTCACCGACCGACCGAGTGATGCTCGAATTGAAGCCAAGCCGTGCATGTGTGCTGCGTGAGAGGCGTCCGTGGAGCTGCTGCCTGCTGCCGCCTGCTGCTGCTGCTGCTGTGCCTAGATGGACACCGCCGGCGATAGGTGCATGATGGCGCGCTCGCACTCAGATCAGACTTTTGACTCGAGACTCACGACTTGCGCGACGTACCAACACCGCGGCCGGGATGATCGAGGGGTTCAGCACATGCATCTATATATATAGAGCGCATACATCATAGCGTAGCGCATTTCGCGGTGTATGCGCGGCACGAACGAGTCAATTTCACGTGACCATCGATGGAATCACGGTCATGAGTCACGTGAGTGCAAGTCCAAGTCGAAATTTTGGTGGGGGGATTGATTGGCATATCGCGAACTGAAGAACGAACCACATCCACTCAAGACTTGACTTTCGGGTCAGCGAAGCTCTCTCACTACACGCGGCATCCGTCGTTCGTCCTTCGACCTGACACTAGTCTTGATCGTCATCATCCACCTGCTCAGTGTACGAGTGGCCGTTGCCTTGTCCAGCGAATCAAGACTCTTTCGTCATAGCAATCACGCACCCGCTTGCGAGGATGCAGTCAAAAGCGGGCGCAGGCGCGGGCGCGGGCCAGGAAGCAGGCAGCACCTCCATCTCGACCTCCAGCGCGACCTCCACCTCGTCCTCTTCGCTCACCTCCACTCTCGTCTCATTGCAAAGTCACCTATCCAAAGTTGATCTTTCTAGTCCCGTGCTGTCCCTCTCCTCAGGGGACAATGCGCACAGTCTTCTCTCCCTCAAGCCTTCTCTCATGCTGGAGTATCTTCAAGCTCTCTCTCTTCTATCCTCTTTCCAACTATCCAATCGTTCCATCTCCTCCGTTGCCAATGACAATCAAGCAAAAGAGTTGGTCGTCGCTTTGATTAGGATTAGACTTTGTTTGGAGAGGGTCAGGGTACTGGAACTTAGAGCCAAGCCCGGCATCGATAGAGTGGTCAGAGCGGCTGAAGAGAGTCAAAGTAGGATCAAATTGGCCAAAAAATCGGGCGATAAGCAGACGGATGAGGCTCGGGTGCATGGAAATGATGATCATGGTGAGCGCGCAGTGGCAGCCATCCTGTTCCTACCACGAGCGAGGGTGCGCGGATGGAGGTTGGAGCGGCGCTGTGTAAAGGAGGTGTATGCGATGAAGCATTTCCGATTTGCCCCGTGTGCAGTCCGCTCGGGGCGTCCACTACTTCGTTCACGATGTGCTCACCAACCTCCCACTTGCCTCCTCGCTTCCTCACCAGACTTGTTATCCTTTAGGCCCAATCTTGACGCATTCGCCTCGATGCGACCCTCAAGTGATGCTCAGGACGATGCCCCTTCTCGCTCCAGCAAGGACGGCATTTATCGTCCACCTCGCCTAGCTCCCGTTCCCTACACTGGCGATCGACCACGTGTGCGACGTGGCGCGGACCAAGTCGAAGGCGGAGGCATCTCTTCCGACGAAGCAGAAGCGGACGGTCCAGATTCGTCCCGTTCAAGATCGAGAAGAGCATTACCTCGCAACGCATCCTTGCTCAACGATTTATCTCAAGGTCTCTCCTCCCTACCGTACGAAGCCTCATCAAGCGGATCCGGAGGAGGAGCTCTTCAAGGTTCTTCCTCCGCAAGCACATCTCACCGAGCTAGAAAGTTGGCCGAGATGCAAGAGTACGAAGAGTCGAATTTGACCAGATTGGCCACTTCTGGTAAAGAAGCCAAGAGGCGTAGAAAGGAAGAGGAGAGCTTGGCTTTGGGAGGTGGAGAGAGGGGTGGTGGAGCTGACAGTCTCATGAACGAATTTGGAGGACTTTTGAGTTCTAGAGGAGGAGGAGGAGGAGGAGGAGCAGGTGGGAGTGGAAGAAGGAAGAGAATGGAAAAGGATGCGTATGAGGAGCTCAGAGGAAAGGGAAGAGACAAGGCGCTGGATAGAGCTAGAGGCAGGAGGGGAGATGCCAAGGGCAATCCTCAATTCTTGGACTCTGCTCAGACTCGACCTGCATCGCTCGGCAAGAGCAAATTCAAAAAGGATCTCAAAAAGGAGAGGAGCAAGAGACGATCATGAGGGTCCCTTTTACGCCGCATCGAAAATTTCCAACATCAGACCTGGAACGTCGTGTGCTCCCATCTTGGGCCCCCATTCTTGTGTGCGTACATCCCCCCAACAATGGTCTGTGGGCATTGCCTGTTCAGACTGCAAGAATGTTTGTGCGGGATATGATACACTTTTTCTTCGGGACGAGCGCATCGCGTCAAGACAAGACCATCTCTGCATCTTCCAATGACGATCCCTCTCCATTCGCATCTCTCTTGACCTCCTCGTCCGCATCCCGCTCTCCCATCTCCTCGTCGACGCGTCCAGCGCGCTTTGGGCCTTCGGCGGTGGGTCGCGAAGGAGCAAGAGAAGCGGCTTCGGCAGACTCTTTATCCATCTCAGCTTGAAGCGCAGCGTACTTTCTTTTCAGCTCGTCCAGCTCCTTCACCATCTTTGACTTGTCTTCAGTCCATCTTTCATGGCGGGGGAAAGGAGGAGGGGCGCAAAAAGGCCGTGCAGAATGGGTCAGCTTGGCTAGCGTCGGGCTTGATGGCAAATAAACGAAATCTCCTTGGTCGCTGCACTCACTCTGCTTCGGCTTTTGCCATCGCGTCGTCCGTTGCGTCCTCCTGCGCGCATCGCGAGGCCAGGAGAAAAGGAAGAACCAGAGCGTGTTAGCGGTCGAGTGGGGCGCGAGGTGGAATTACACGACCTTGCCATTCTTACGCCACGATCGCTCGGCTGAATTTGTGACATGTCGCGCAAGCTCCAAGCACCCTCTCACGCCCCCCGCTCTCTCTCTCTCTCTCTCTCTCTCCCCTCCCCTTCGATTTTTCGACTCACCTGATCATCCAGCGCATCCTCTTGCCTTCCCGTAAGCTTCTTCGGCAAAAAGTACAGCGCATGCTCGTCCCCTCTCGCTTGCACACCTACCGGACCAATCGCATTAGGCACCTCCTTTGCGCGTTCCCTCTTCTCCACCTGCACATCCCTCAACCTGCTTCCCACTGGCGTGACCAGAAAGCTGGCCAGGCGGTGCTTGGAAGATCTGAGCGCGTTGAAGGCGCTTTCGGAAGAGGAGATTCTGGATGCTTGAAGGATGATTTGCGACTCGAGTTGCGATAGACGACGAGCGGATTCGACTAGACGCTCGTTGGCCGCTCTCTTGTTTGCCAAACGAGACGCTAGTTCGGCTCGACGCTTGGCCTGACGTCCCAACAAGAACAAAAAGGTGCGAACATGCCATCGGCTGTCAGCCCTCACTTTTGCGGCCGTCATTCGCACCTCGCACCTCGTGCCCCCCAAGTTGCGAGCTCTTTCCAGCGCAAGTTCTACCATTGGCTATTTTCCCTACTTGCACAAGCAACATCCAATTCCCATTCCAAACGCGCACATACACTCACCCCTTCCCCACTCGCCATCCTTTCATTCTCTTCCTTTGCTTTGCCCAATGTGCTATTGAGCATGCCAAACATTCTCTTGCCCCTTTTTGCCAGCTCATTGTCCATGCGAGGTCTGACTCTCCTCTCATCTCTATAGGCCGGCGCGGCCGCTGATTCCTTGTTCTCTCTCTCCCTGATCGGGCTCGTTTCCGAACGCGACGCCTGCCCCTCTTCTATGGGCTGATCCACTTTACCAGGCGCAAGCGTCGCAGAGGTAGGCTCCTCTTCAGCAGCAGCAGCGTCCGTCATCGCGACGTCTGCTTGCTCCTCTCTTTTTCGTTCGTCAAGTCGTGAGGAATCCCTGGCAGCTTTTGCGCCCGCAGCTCTACGTGCTTGTCTAGCTGAAGAGCGAGTTGAAGGGCCCTGAGCAAGTTCCGTCTTTGACATTTGCAGATCTTCTTGCGTATCTCCGATGACAGGCGACACTGATGTGGCTGGCTTGTCTTCCAGTGGCGCCGTGACAGGCTCTGATTCGTGACCTGCCACTTCCATCGCTGTGTGCTTCGTTGAATCGGAAGCAGCAGATTCAGCCGCTCTGCGTCTAAATGGAGGAGCATCACCATTAGGTGCAGCTAGGACGACAGGATCGGTCTCGATTACTAGCGCTATCGGCTCTTGTGCTGCCTCACTGCCCTGAGGATTTTCACCCTTCGCGGGCGTGCTATTGTCCTCGATTCCAGAGACAGCTTCGGTATTGGCCTTGACCGACTGCGTCTCCACTTCTACTGCAGGTGGTATGTGGGCAGCCTTTGCGTTCGTTGCTGATGATATCTGCCCAGCTTCTGACTGCGATGACTGGTCTGGCTCGACCTCCTCCTCCTGCACCTCTTCGTCGTCATCATCTCGAGCACCTTCTTCGTTCTTCTTCGATTTGGCGCTCTTGCCATTGCTAGATGTGCTGGCCTCTGCGCAATTCGAAGCTGAGCCATTGCCCGCAGCGGCTACTTTTCTTGCGCTAGCCCTACCCTTTCCCTTTCCCTTTAGGCCTCCTCCACTGCTGACTTGCGGCTCAGCTTGCCCTCCAGCATCATCCATCGCTACTTTTGCTTCCTTTTCTGCCGTTTGAGCTCCTTCAGAAGCGTCGTCGATCGCATCTTTGGCTGATCGAGTGGACCTTGTAGATCTCGTGGATCGTGTCGACCTCGTCGCTGGCATCTCGACAAGCTCGGCCTGACGTATTAGGCCGCAGATTGGGTTCTGCTCTTCAATCGAGATGGCCAACGGTCTGGACGGTGCGTGGACTGACCTCCGAAAGCATGCGCGAGAAGTCGAGGGGAATGTATCGCAAGCAAGCGAGACATGTATGCTTGGAGTTTTGAAACGTCGTGGATCGCAGTCAGGAGCGCGAGTCAGCAGTAGACTCAAACTGATGATCAGACGGATCACGCACGTATCGTCAAAAGATCACGAACGTAATCACGAATCACGAATGCTGCGTGCATGCATGGGGTCAAGTCAAGACTCGTGACTCAAGAGTCACGAGTTTTGAAGCTTGCAGAGACTTTTTTAATTCGTCGCATCATCAGCTGCCTAGCCGTGCTGCGAACGCGATCTCTCGACAAGCGATATCATCTTGAATCTCGAATCTCGAATCTCGAATCAAATCAGAATGTGGTCTGAATTAAAAAGATTTCACATTCTGCATCACGTGCCGTGAAAGGTGGCCAGCTGCATAATATTCAAGAATCAAAAATTCGAATTCGAACGGTTACACCCACGCAAAGATCATGCAGCTTCAGCTTCGTCCCTGCACAGAGAATGATGCGCGGGAGCACCTCCAAGCTCGTACATTGGTCCCCTCGCTTCTGTTCTACCTTTTCCATGACCCCCGCCCCATTTGCCAAGGAGCTCAGCGTGGATGACTGACTGGGGCCCGATCTGTCGCATAGTCGGATCTCGAAGCGTTCGTGCGCATGTCTGTCGGTGGATGCACAGCGGTGGGTGGCAGGCAGCTCTCTCCATCGAAGGGTGATCGATCAGATGCGACAAAGTGTACAACAAGGCGTGAAGGATCATGGAACCGGGGCGCGTCTTTGCGTGCCTGGTCTTCTTCGTTGGTAGGGGCAAAGGCAATCTGGATTCGGTGCTTGGAGTACCTAGCTCTTCTTTCAAGCACCTCAAACAAGTGAGCGAGCATTCCCTCTTCCTAATCCTCTCCCTGGCTAGGCGCTATCTGAAAAGGCTGCACCTTGCCAAACCTAGCGTCAACTTGCCCTCCCGCACGCGTCCCTCCCAGAAGCCGCAACGCTAGTTTCATTTCAAGCTCCCACCCTCAGTCCAAACTGGTTCCAAGTGCGCAATTCATTCTTTTTCTTCCGTGCGTCTTTTCAAAATAGCCAAAGGTCCTATCGGCGCGGAGGACGCTTGTTCCGCGTCCGATGTCCCTCTGCGTCTCTGTTCCTGCCCACGCTGTGCCTTTGCTCCGTTCTTTGCCTTTTTTTCTCCTCCCTGCGCATACGGCACACCTTGACCTTGTGCCTTCTGTTTAGCAGCATGCTGAGCTTTGCCAGATTTCGCCGCGAGCGCCTTGGGTCCCGTCGGGGTTGCGTGCGCTTCGGAAGGTCCATCAGCCGTGATCGGAGCGACGTGCTTGTCCTTCTTCTTGGAACGCCCTGCATCAGCTTTCGGACCCGTCGGCGGCGCTTGTTGAGTTTCATCCTTTGGTCGAGATGGACCCTGCGCTTGTGCCTTGCTGGTCGTCTTTGATTTGTCTTTCTTGGGTGTCGAGCCGACGCTCGAGGGTATCGCACTAGAGCTGGAATGTGTCGCCGCTTCCTTTTTTGATTTCTTTGGACCTTTCGGCGTGTCCAACTTGTTCTGGCTCGACGAAGGCGCGTGCCCAGAAGAGGAAGAGGAAGCGTGCGCTTGAGACTTCGACTTTTTGGAAGATGCAGAAGCGGCAGCTGCCGCTGCTGCGGCGGAGGCTTGTTGTGCTCGTAAATGATCTAATAACGGAGTCGTCTTTTTGACGTTTGCACCGGCGCTGGACGATTTGGACTGCAAGGCTTCGCCCGACAGAACGCTCGATGCACCTGTCGGAGATTTGGAATGTGTGAAGATTGCGTGGGCAGACGGAAAAATCACATACGCGCGACTCACCCTGCTGATTTTCTTTGTCTGCAGCTTCACCTGCTCCTGCCGCTCCCGGATTCTCTAAAGCAGCAATGAAGCCTAGATACGTCGCATCTGCAGAGGCAATCGTGAGCACGAAGACGATCCATTCAGCCAACTTGGTCCAATGCGTCCGACTCGGTAGCTTTCTCACACGCACCCTCGTCGATCGTTCCCACTCTCGCGTCCGCCTTCTTAGCCTTTTCCATGCCAGGCACCTTTTGATTTGGTGCGAATTCCACAATCGCAGTGTACTCGTTGCCTAGAGTGCATTGGATGGAGCGCGGCTTAGCAGAAAGCGAGCAAAGAGGAGCAAAGTGGATGGTGGTTGGAGAAAAGAAGAGGAGGTCTTTGCGCACCTTTAGAGTCCCTAAAACCGTGACCATCGAAATTGCGATGAAACTCGACGAGGGCTTCGAGGGAAGTGAAGCGAATGTATGCGCGCGAGTGTCGATGTTGGACAGTGCGAGCGTCATTCAGGGTGCCTTGACGACTGAGGTGAACAGGGTGTGGCTGTCATCAGTTTGAATGATCGTACGCGCGTGCAACTTTCCGAAGTCGAATCGGCGCAAGTGCTCATGGCGCTTTCGCGCTGTGTTTTGGTGTCGTGCGACCCTCGCACCTTTTCGAGCACGCACACACGCACGCATGCACGCACGCACGCACGCACGCCCGCACTCACCTCTCCTTGATCTTGCCCTCGACAAAGCGCTTCCACTCGATCGTCTGTTGCAGCGGCGTGTGCATCTGCCCCGCTTCTGCGCTCGTCTGACTGTTGATAACCTGCACATCCTCCAAGTCCCTCACCCAAGGTCTGACCACATTCCAAAATATTTCCTCAGGAAGATTAGGTGGCAGCCTCCTAACGATCACTTTTAGCTTCTGTAGAGGAGCTTTGGAGCGAGATGCGCGATCTTTGTCCTTGTCCTTCTCTTTGTCCCTTTTGGACTTTGATTTGGACGATGGTTTCGATTTGGACTTTGATTTGGAGGTGTGGGGAGCGCTCTGCGTGTTCGGATTGGTTGGAGCAGATGCGGGTTGAAGTGTTGATTGCGCTTGGGATGCGAGTTGAGGAGACAAGGCTTGCGATTCTGCCTTTTGGGCTGCCGAGTTGGGGAGGTGGAGCTTGTTGTGCGAGTCGTGCTGCTTGCTCTTGCTCGTCTTTTCGCCTCTTCGATGCTTCCCATCCTTCGTCGTCGTCGTCTCCTCCTCTTCCTTTGAAGCTGCTGCCCTGTCCCCAGCTTCCAACATCTCCGACTTGTCCGCTACGCTTGCACCTTTGCCCTTCGCATCCTTGTCCTTGTCACCCTTGTGGGTGTGACTGTGGGGTGGTCGTCTGCGCTTCTTGTCTTGGTTGGCTGAAGCGCTGGCAGCAGCTCCAGACCCAGACACAGAAGGAGCAGGAGCAGGAGCAGGAGCAGGAGCAGAAGCTGACATTGCACCGTTGGTGTGCCTTGAATGATGCCCGCCAGCAAAGAGAGACGAGAGGACAAGGTGGTGAATGCTTGCAAAGTCGACTCACGAAAGCGGCTATAATGTTTGAATCGAAGCGTGAACAGACAGACGGGCGCAGAACGGCGGCGCGTGCGTGCATGCATGCATCACACGCATGGATCTCTTGCGCGTCCCACTCTGATGACTCTTGACCGCCTTTGATGTTGATTCACGATTGTGACATGTGACTTGTCCCGCGGGAACGCGACCCAAATACGCGCACAGCAGCAGCACGCGACAATCGAATCGTAAATCGTGAATCAACCGCTCCGAAGTGCATGTGCATCACGCGAATGACTTGAATGACAAAGCACGCGCGAGTCAGCGGACATCACTTCAAGAATCGATGCTGTCCATCCAAACACGCACCGACGCGACGAAGACTCGCGACTGGTTGCGTGATGACCATGATGCTATTCAGTGATTGTCATTCACGTGATTCATCGTTCATGGCATGTAGCATCCCCCACTTGCTTTCTCATCCCATCGCCATCCACGCTTGACTCTTGTACGGCAGCAGCAGTGGCAGTGGCAGTGGCAGTAGCGCCAGCATGGAAGGGACAAATGTCAGCTACCAATCGCACCACCACCACCACCACCGCATCTCGTCCGTGCAAGCCCATCAATGAGCGCAAGATCACCTCCCACTCTCGTCGACTCAACGTCCCTCATCGCGCCCAAAGAGTCCTGAGCAACCTCGAAGGATTTTATCCGAAAAGTGGACGAGATCTTGCAACAGGCCATGTCACCAAAGACGAGGCAAAGTCAAAGGCAAACGAAGGGGAAGAGGGGCGAAATGGTCGGAGCGAGGAGCGTGAAGAGCGAGAGGAGGGAGGGATGATGTTGGCTATACGAACGAATCGACGTGCGCCTGCGACGAGTGATTGGAGAAGATTTGGGAGGGAAAGGAGGGCAGCAGAGTTGCTAGGACAGTTACATGGACAGGGAAGGTCTGGAGAGAAGGCGAGGAGCTACGCGTACAGGCCCAAACAGTCTCACTTGCAGTGGACACGATCTGAGCAGCAGCAGCTGACAGGCAATGCAGGTCCAAGCTCGATCAGAGGAGGGGACAAAGTGGTAGAGCACAATGCAGAGGGTGAGATCAACCCATCTAGTCAACCTGTTACTGTTACAAGGAGGGACTCGCTGCCAGCTGAGGTGGAAGGGATGTCCGAAGACGTGGAAGACGAAGAGGAGGATTGGTGGCGCAATTTGCCTTCGGAAGAGCAGATCATCAGCAGTGTTGCTCTTGCAGACGATTCTAAAGAAAGGTCGCTTCAAGACAGGGGTGCATCCATTGTCACGATGATGACTGATCAAGAGGTGCGAGCATCCCGGTCTGATGAGATCGATTCAAAAGAACCTCGCACCTCAAACACCGACGTCAAGATATTCGGTGCACCTCCAGTGCCGCTATTCTCAGCACGCGCAGCGACAGAAAGAGCATCGCTCACTTCCAGACAAGGCTTGAAGAGGAAGGATAATCCCCTGACCCATTTTCACCACGACAGCGTCGGTTTGAGGACAACGCACTATACGTGAGTCGTGCCTCTTTCATCCACTTCTCTACTCTATCTGCACATTGGAGCTGACGCGATGCGCAACGTGGTGAACATATGTAGAACGTCATCGACGGGTCATCAGGTGTCCAATAGGTTAGGTCCCGGCGCACCCGGTGCCACTTGGTGGGATACGCGTTTGCAAAAACTTCGTTCACAAGCTTGCGAAGAGGAAAGCGATCTTTTCAAAGGTATCGTTGCCTACGTCAATGGCTTTACAGGAGCGAACACAACGCGAAGAGAAGTGGTGAGGTTATTGCAGATGCACGGTGCCAAAGTCGTGTGAGTTGCGGGGAATGGTGCGCCTCGCACTTGCAATTTCCAAAACAAACTTTTCCCTTGATCGCTCTTGAGTGGCGATTGACATTGTGCTGATGCTGCTTTGCGACTCTTTTGGAACGAACATGGGCCGAAAGCATCATGCCTTCAGCAAAGACGACGCACATTTTTACGGCCGCTTTCCTTTCCGCATCCAAAGCGCACAAGGTGCTTGTCAAAAGACGAGGCGGTCTAGGTCCCAAGATCCTGCACGTGCAATGGTGAGCTATTTGGCATACCTCTCGAGTGTCTTTTGCGTAGGAGCTTGAATAGCTCACTATCGTGTAGAAAATTTGCAACATTAAAGGGTGTTTGATAGTCTGGCGACAGATCCACCTCGTAGACAGACTGAGCACGTCTATTCCATCCTCAACCCTCCTACACGACACGAGGAAGCATCTCAGCCGCACTCGCTCTCGACTGGATCGACATCCGCGCCCATGGCGTCTCATGGAGAGATGCGAAAGGCTGTGAAAAGGGTAGTGCCTGCTACTTTGACAACCTTGCCCCATGCACCCGACGCGCGACAAGGAGCCTATAAAGCTCAAAGAAGCCTAGCGGACTTTATGGGTCCACCTGCGAAAGCGTCGACGTCTCAAGTCGCGCAGTTGCAGACTAGCAAGACGATAAAGCGAGAGCAAGAGCAGCAGCCAAAGTCGGTCGAAAAATGCACCTCTACTGCTGCTGCTGCTTCTGATGCGACTCGGAACAAGGGGCGAACAAGCCAGCTGGCTGAATGTGGTCAGAGGAGAGGAGGTGGTGCGGACGAGCTATTGCGCGGAAAGGTTCGGACCGCGGAGAAGGGCGCTGGTGGGAGCGCCCTTGGGGCAAAAAGAGCAAAGATACAACTACCGGCATGGAGAATGCTCGGCAAGTAGAGCATCCGTTTGGCGAGAGAGAGAGAGATGAAGGAAGCATCATTGTAGCGATAGGCCGGAGCATTTGTAAAGGGACGCGCGCGCGCCCTCCTGCGAACTTTTGTATCTCGATTACCGTACTGCGATCGCTTAATTTGGGGGCTTGGCACTGAATTTTTTTTTGCCGATGGAGAATGAAGTTGGGGCTTGGGATGCGACGGAAGGTGTGCGATGGAGATGGACGAGTCTCGGCTCTGCAAGCTGGTTGGAAGCCGCAATGATCGAGTCGCACAGTCGAACAGGGTTTCAAAAAAACAAATTCGGAAAAACTGAATTTGACCTGCAAGAAAGCCGAGCAAACGAAATACTTGAAGCAGGGGGCCGAGCGGCTGCAGCAGTGTGCGTACGGAGCAAAGTGGAGCGTTACGTGCAGAAGAGGAAACGCCGTTTAGACTCTTTTCTGTACAAAGTCTCTTCGACGCGAGGTGCATGTTTGACGAAGCATCTACAGGAGCTTGGGAACTGTGAGTATGGAAGCGAGCAGCGGGGTCGAGGATGAGATCAGCCTCGCAGGAATCATCGCGTATCCTCCAGAGACATCGATTGGCATGGAGAAATGATTGGGGTTTCTTTCTTGCTGCACTCACGGTACTGAACATCGCTCTTGCAGCTGCTCTTCGTCGTAGAGTTCGTAGGCTGGTACAAGCCGTGAATCAAGGGACCTCTAGTATGATAGTAGTACCAAACTTCGCTGAGGGATGTGCCGTTCTTGTTGCAGCCGATGTACGGAACACCTCCATGCTTGCTCGTCAAGACATTTTGAATAGAGGCTAGAGGATACGTCGTCGTGCTGGATGGAAGAATGGAGGCGGAAGCGAGCCAGTCGTAGGTTGGCACTGCTCCACACAAATGATATCCCTCATCAGCTCTCTCTTGCGGGCGACTTTTTGTTTGTGAGGGGAAGCAGGAAAAGAGAAGAAGAACTCACGCCTCTTGAATTGCCTAACAATCTCTTCGAAATAGCCCACCAGAGCAGCAGAAGTCTGGTTCATGCCGCGCGTAGGGATTTGACATTTTGCTCTCAAGGTGCTGAAACAGGTTCCGTGCTTGTTGTACTCGTGATCCCAGAAACTAGCATCATCTCCCGAAATGTCCTTGTAGTAGGTGTTCATGTAGTTGAGCGTAGAAGGAGCGTACTGAGCCAATTGAGCTTTGATCTGAGCACCGTCGAATTCGGGAATACCGCTGTCTTTTGTGCAGTATTGAGGGTAGGAACCATCGCTATACGACGAAGCAAAATGTGCGAGCAGCTGTCAGCAGGTCATGGCTTGCATATGTTCCCAAACTAACTCTTTCCCCTTTACCGGCTAGAGAAGTCCGGGACTCGCACGCACCAGTAGTCGGGCCACAATCCGTGAATGGTGAAGCTGTTGTTGGGTCCTTGTCCGACGTGAGAATTGCTGGTCCAGAATTGAGTGGCGAGGACCAATCCAGATTCTTTGAAACCGGCTTGCAGAGCTCCGTTGTAGCAGCACGTGCCGAAGGAGGTGGGGTCTACGACTGGATCTGCGGTGCAGGATAGCTTGGGAGCTGCTCGGACGCACGAGTAGGCATCTTGAGGAGCTGTTGGGCTGAGTGCGAACGCGCCCGAAGCGAGGGTGAGAGCGGAGAGGAGGAAGCGCATCGTGCGGAAGGAGTCGACTGGGTTGGGTGATGTGGCGCGAGCGAGGATGGGAAAGAGGGGGAAAGGAAGAGGTCGGCGGGGAAGAGAGGCGTGTCTACACTCTCTTTCCCCAGCGCACCTTATATGTTCTTCGACGAGGCCATCTTAGCAAGATGTTCGATTTGATTGCACATTGGCACGTACAGTGTACGTACGTTGGAAAGGAGGAGCCCCCCCCCCCCCATCCTGATCCGCGCTAAGGACGCATAAAACGTTGAGAAGAAGCCAGGCACGTTCGCCTCGGACCAAAGGCCGAAAGCTCCGCTTTCAAATTGCACAACATCCTGCCCTGCCGCCAATCAAGTTTCGAGCGCGTGGGTCGGGCATGTATACCGAGGTCACGATTCAAAAGCCACTTACTCGACTAGACTCTTGCTGAAGGCAGGCACCACAGCCATGCTGTTGGCGAGTCGGTACCTGCGTTCAGCAAGTCAATCGTGTATCACAGAAGCAGAAGAGGGAAGAGGCACGTTGAGCGCGAAAGGAGGGGCCGAAGCGAGCAAGAAGTGAACGTGCTTGAGCGGGCAATCCTCCGATGTGCATGCGGTGTGATCGAACGGGGGGGAGGGCCTGCAGGTAGTGAATACGGTACAGTAGGTAGGTAGGTAGGTACATGCACCCTTCAAGCACGCTAAGCAAGCAAGTCTGTGCTTGCTTATCGTGAGCGCAGGAACGAGTCGCAGCTAGGCGATTTGGTCGGAGTTTGAGTGGCTGCTGCGACGAAGAACGAGCTGATCCGGCCTCACCTTCCACAGTCACGAGTTTGCTCTCTTACACTGCCATCCACTCGAGCCTATGTGCAAATGGCTGCCTCCCCCTCTGTTCGTCGAAAAGGGCAAGAGGCAAGCTTACCCAAGTCGCGGACAAGACGCCAATCGGAAAGCAATCGTCATCAGATTCCCGCTAAAGAATGACGCTGCGCACAGGCTAGCACATAGGGGTGGGTTCAAGGCAACAAGACTATGGGCAAAAGAGTGGGTCAAGACTGGATTTTGGGGGGAAGGGGGATGGGAGATTGTTCGAAGCTGATCCTGTCTTCGTGGGGAATGACGAGGACGCTTTTAAGGAACGTGATGATGGAGAGAGCGTGGGGATTGGATGCATGAGCGTCGCTGGTGAGTCGCAAGCTGGCGGACGGAGCGGCGACATCGGCATCCGAATGGCCAATAGCATCCTTTTGAATCAGCACGTCAAGTACCGATGCTCTGAGAACGTCTTGAGAACGAAGCGAGATAGCCGCTGGATCATTCGCTAAGGCCTTTGCTCGTCGTTGTGGCGAAGTAATCTGCTCTTGAGCAACTGTCGAGCCAAACCTCTCGTCTTGGGTCCTCGCTTGCCGAGCCAAGAAGTCCTTCCATACTCTTCGCGCTTGACAGGAGGTGTGCCGCTGGTCTCTTGGCCCGACTTTGTGTCTTTGCCGTCCGAAGCTTTGTATCCAGCAGTACTGCCGTCAGGTCCGCCAGCGCCTGACCCGCTTCCAGAACCTCCATTCGATCCGCCTCCCCCTCCTCCGCCTCCATTCGCATTTGCCAAACCACCACCACCGGCTGCAGCATGGCTGACCGTCTTTTGAGTAGTGTCTGCTTCGGCGTAGGGAAGATCGCCGCTGGAAGCGGAGCCGGAGCCGGTACCAGAGCCGCCACCGGCACCGCCGCCGGAACCACCACCACCACCGGCACCGCCTCCTGCTCCTCCTCCAGACCCTCCTCCGCCCGTTGAGCTAGATGGCTTGCTGTCGGAACTTCCCGTTCCAGATCCAGCTCCGCCACCGGCACCACCTCCAGCACCACCGCCTGATCCTTGACCTGTCGAACTAGTTGGCTTGCTGTCAGAAGTTCCAGCCCCAGTTCCAGCTCCACCGCCGGCACCGCCGCCTGATCCTTGACCGGTCGAGCTTGATGGCTTGTCGGTGCTTGAGCCATTGGCGCCGCTGGCACCGCCTGTCGCAGCATCGCCAGATGGACTAAAGGAGCTTGGACTGGAGCTGCTAGCACCGCCACCAGATGCTCCATCGGCGTTCTCGACCACACCTTCTTTGATGCCTTCTTCGTCGGGCAGGTACCAGGAAGCAATGTCGATCTTGCCTTCTTCCTTGAAGCCCAGCCAGCTGAAAGCGGCTGCGCTGAGGTCGGTAAAACCAGGTCCTCCGCAGCTTGGACATTGATCGACAACCTTGACGATGACTTGACGTCCTACGAGCTCTTTCGGAGTGGCAGTGCCGTTCGTCATGGTGCCAGCAAGACGCTGGATGACCAGGAATTTGCCGCAGTGAGCACCATTCTCGTACTGAGAGCCATCCAGTGCGCATGTAAAGTCCGTATCCTTGAACGCGCCAATCTGGCAGTTTCCGCCAGCGCTTTGACCCTGCGCGGAGCGAGTCGAGAAGGAGTCAGCAGACCAAGTCGTGCACGTTCGAGAACGCACGCCGCATTACCTACTCACCCAGAATGTTCCCTTGCCAGTAAATTGTTTGCCTTCCTTTTTGCCGGACCACGATCCTTTGGCGATGTCTTTGGGCGCGCAAGTGCCCCAGCCCCATGGAATCATGTCGTTTTCGTCCTTCTTGCATCCTGGACCGCCACCAGCGCTAGGAGTCGAAGTAGTATTGGTAGCGCCTGAGGTACTTCCTCCCGCACCTTGCGTAGTCGAATCTCCGGGGGTGCTGGAATCGCGAGATGGACTCGACGAGCTGGTGGAGGAAGGCGAAGTGTCGGTCGTACTTCCGCCAGCAGCGCCTCCGGCTGCTGCGCCAGCCGTCTTGCTCTTCTCTTCTTGGCTCTTATTGGACTCGCTGGTACTTCCACCCGAGCTGCTTCCACCCGAGGAACCGGACTTTTCGGAGCCCGACTTTTCGCTCTCTTTGGTCTTCTGCTCGCCGCTCTTCTTGGACTCGGTCGTGCTGCTGTTCGTGTCGGTGCCGCTTGCAGAAGAACCTCCGCTCTCTTTGCTCTTCTGCTCGCCGCTCTTCTTCGTCTCGCTGCCGCTCGAACCCGTGTCGGTCGGGCTGGTGGAGGAAGGCGAAGTGCTGGGGCTAGTGGAGGATGGGGAGGAGCTACTCTTCTCCTGTTCCTTGCTCTGCTGCTCGCCGCTCTTGTTCGACTGGGATGTGCTGGACCCTACGTCGCTGGATGGGCTAGTCGAAGAAGGAGAAGTGCTAGATGGGCTGGTCGAAGGTGAAGAGCTGGTCGAGGTGCCGCTGCCGTAACCAGCACCGCTGCCTTGGCTGCTCTTCTCTCCAGAGCTCTTCGTGGTGTCGCTGCTGCTCCCGCCAGAGGCGCTTCCACCGCTCGTCTCTTTGGTCTTTTCGGCTTCTTTGCTCTTCTCCTCCCCGCTCTTTTTGGACTCGGACGAGCTTCCGCCAGTGCTGCTTCCGCCGCCACTTTCTTCCTTTTTCTTTTCGTGCTC